ACCTCTAGCTTCCCCTTGCCCCTCCCTTTGCGTGAAGACCCTATCATGGCGACCTAAGGGTGATTTGTTCAAGAGATCACCCTAACTCTCCTCAACTCTTTCCTTGACTGAAAACTGAATGCCTTTATTCTCAATTCGCAGCTCCTTAAATAGGAGATTACAAGAGGTGAGAATCCTCCCTGTAGGAGGACTCCCTGTAGAATTTGACTACTTACAGATAAGGCTAAGATAAATCAAACTCCTACTTCTAATAGATAAATCAAACTCTAGAAGATAAGGAAAACTACTAAAGATAAGATAAGCTGAGAGCTGATAAGATAGGCTGCCGCCTTGTGGGCCTCTCCTCACTGCTGCTGCCGGCGGCTGTACGCCCTCCCCACGAATGCATCCACAACATGTTGTATGGAAGGTTTGGGAAGAAAGAAATGCAGACTCTTCAAGGAAGAGGAGAGAAGTTTGGAAGCAATTTTAGATAGTGTCCTCCCAAGAGTTATTCATTCGGTTAAGTCCTTGTACTTGTTCTCACCCTTCTCCTTTGCCGATAGAAAAAGGAATTGGAGGGAAGTGGTCTCTTCATCTACAAGGACTAGAACAGTTCACATTTGGGAACCACCCTCAGAAAGCTTATAAAACTCAATTTTGATGGGAGATGTTTTGGTAACCCAGGCCCTTCAGGCATTGGAGGGGTGTTTAGAGACAATTGGAGTAGGTGATTCTTTAAGGGCTGAGGTGTTGGCTGTCATGGAGGGACTCCAAAAGGCAAAGGACATGAGTATACAAAAGCTGGTTATAGAAGGCAATTCGAAGCTGGTAGTGGAGTGGCTGCAGAAGGAAGGAAAGGGACTTTGGGTTTTTAATAATGAAAAGAAAAGGTTTAAGTGGTTAACACAAAATATGGATGTGAAGTTTAATTGGGTAAAAAGAACTGCAAATGGGTTTGCTGATGTATTAGCAAAGCAAGGGGTGGGAAGGAGTCATATGTTTTGGGCTCTGTAATTGCTAATTTATACTATTGAGAGTTAAGAAAGTTTACCTCTCCTGCTCTTGTAATTGTTCTGTTTTAATTTAGTGAAATTCTGTTATTGATCAAAAAACAAAAAAAAGTTACTGCTTTGGTTCTAGTGTTTTCTGTCTTAATCTTAGGAGTGAAGTTTGAGTGATTGGTGTAGTGGTTTGTACTGGTGGTAGATTTTCTTCTCTCAGGTGACTTTTGGTCACTTTTCTTGTGTTTCCTTTTTCTCTTTAATTTATAAAAAAACTTTTGTTTCCACTCATAACATGTTTGTCAGCTTCTTGCTATCTCTTTCAAAGTTTTTTTTTTGATCAGCAACTATCTCTTTCAAAGTTACACCTTTAGCTTGTCATTCCTTGTCACTTGTCATCTGATAATATCTTCTTAAAGTGTATCATGGTTGCTGAAGGATGTCAGCATATACATTCACCTAATTGCCAACTACTTATAATCATTTATTTATACAAACAAGACCAAAAGGAAACTAAACCTAAATTACAACATAGCTAAGGACTGAGTTGCTCCCATATCTAATTGACTCGAGTAAGTCAATCATAAGTCCTGAACCAACATAAAATATGTAAAATGACCAAAATATCTCGCTGTACTGAAAGTATACAAAATACACAAAAGATTCAGAAAGTCCTATAGTTGAACATTCAGCTTTTCCATTGTGACCCTACACCAAGCTTGAAATGAGCATAAAAGGTCTTGAATGAATTTGTCACTGTAGATGTTTATAACTATGCTTGGCTGTGTTTAAGATGGGCCACAACTTTTCTACTTTCCCTGAAAGCTCCATCCAGGCTTAGCCTAACCACTCAAGCATGCCTTGTTATCAAGGCCAGTGATCAAATTTGGCAATTGTGCACTGAGATGAAGCTGGTTTTTTATTTTATTCTTCTTTGATTTTTAGCATTACTTCTAGAGGGTAGGATTGCAATTGAGATATATCTGCTTTGTGTTTATGCAAACCTAAGTATTTATTCTGATTTACCAGACTCAAAATCCTTATATTTTGCAGGTTACACGTGTTGATATGAATTGTTTTGCAATTTTTGTCTGTGAAAAGTTAAAATGGTAATGAAACTATTTAGTCTCAGTTTTTATTGCTTAAGAATTCCCTGCTTAAAACTAATTATATATTGGTTATTGCCTTGTCTGGTTGTTTAGGTGAAAAAGTTGCTCAATATCTTAATACATTACCATAGATTGACTCATTCAAAACCATGCCTGCTATGAAGAAGGTTGGTCAAAGTTGCTACCCTTTGCAGAAAATTAAAAAAACTTCATTAAGTTAATAGGATCTGTAACTTCAAGGCCGTTTCCCTCTCTAGTAACCATGCATGGTAGTGAGTTTCTATCTTCCTAAAAGTAGTTAAAAAAGGTTTTTCATGGACCATTTATTATTGGAGTTGGTATTTGTAATTTTGTATCTATGCTTGATTATATTATGGATGTGATTGGTAGGTTTTGTTGTAATGGGTGATTAAGCTATGTGCTTGTGCTGTCTTTATGTTATTAGTTATGTTGTAGTATTGAGCCTGAAGTTAATTGTCTTGATTTAGTTCTTTTCTATTTGTGCTTATGTGGCCCTCAATGGGGCACTCTTTTCATTTCATGTAACTTCACTTCTTTAATATAAATGGCACATTTTGGCTGGCCGAGCCAGAGAATAGTCTTGCTGCCCATTACTTCTCTTCTTCCTTCTCTGTTTTCTCTCTTCTTTGCCTTACTGGCATTGCAGGTCAACAGACAGGTTTATAGGTGATTTTGAATAAAAAGTTTTATGATTTACCAAAAAAATATAACATGGAGTTTTATGCTACATTACATTAGATGTTCATAAATGCTTAGGGCCTATACCCTCGTCTATCTTGTGATACTATCAGAGTTTGATTGCTAATAACTAAATGAATCTTTTATTTTAATTGGCATTTTGGCACCATGCAAGATGTGTCTGTATTTTATGGGATTTTATGTCTTCTCAATTTTTTTGTCTCTTATGTAAATTTTTTTTATCAGCAAAAGGAAAATTCATTTTCTCCATTTTTTTTGGTCAAGGAGAAGAATTTCTATTTTTGGAATTACTATTATCTCTCTCCATTTTGCCCTAACTAATTGATATCTTTTTGCTTCCTCCACGATTTTTCTTTGGCAAATCAGAATTCTGAACGCAGTAGCATCGGGCACATTTTCAACAAATTGCTGAAGGATCTAGGAAGTCCTGTTGAGTTTGACCTTCCAGATTGTTTGAAGAAACGCAAGCATACACCTTATACTTTTATAAGGCGCAGTATCCATCTGAATCATTGTTCAGGAATTTTTATATTTTGATACAAATTTCATGGTTGAACATTATCTGGTGAAGTGTTTGTGGTGTTTACCATGATTAGTGTGTGTGTGTGGATCTGATCATTACTCCATAGATTTGCACTTTACCATAACAAAAAGGTACATACATTTTTACTTGAACCTTGCAGTTTTCCTTCTGAGCAAATTATAGGTTTTGAAATTTGATGTGTATTTTTTTTTGGTTTTCTTTTTCATCTTAAATTTAACCATTGTTGATATTAACTCTTCAAAAGATATATATCTCACAAAAAAGGTTAAGAGACGTCTGGAGGATGATGGTATTTTCTGTTCCTGCACTGCATCACCAGGATCTTCTGGTGTGTGTGGTAGAGATTGTCATTGTGGGTAAGAATCTTCTTTGGTAATCATGGTTGCTTTATTAGGTATTGTCTGACGGTTTCTTACTGACTACCATCTGTAAGAACTGAAGTATCATCATTGTTGTCTAGGCATCATCAAGTGATTAGGGTTGGATTCTTGATCACCCTTTGTATTGCTAAAAGCAAATTGCAATTATTAGGACCATTATTGCCATCATTGTTAGTTTCTTAAATAGTTTGCAATCACTGCACTGCAAAATTAATTAGGTTTCTTTACTTGCCATAAGAACTTTGATGCAAATTTCTAATGTCTTGCTTTAATAGGATGCTGCTGTCTAGTTGTTCATCAAGCTGTAAATGTGGGACTTCATGTCTCAACAAACCATTTCAACACCGAACTGTGAAGAAAATGAAACTAGTGAAGGTATGACTTTGTAAAAATGGTTCTGATGTTATTTGCTTCCTATATCAAGTGGGGAGGAAAGCTATACATCAATTACTCTAGTTATCATTGGAAAAGCTAATAGGATAGTATATTATGTTTATTGATAATAGAAAGGATAATGTATTATGTGGATATTAATGCTGCAAACACTGTAATACATTGGCTAGGGATTTTGCAAATTTCCCTGTTTAATGTGGGGATAGAAAGTATTATTTTGGGGCTTGATTTTTCTTTATATTTCTGAAATTTTGGAAGATGTTAGAGATGCGAACACTGTTATTTGTCTATGTTATCTATGGTATGGTTTCATAGATTCTCAAGTTGCTCAAGTAAGTGTATGAAAAAGAAAAACATAGAGGAGGATTATAGTTGTTGAATCTAGTGTTAAAGTTATTTCTTGAAGATGGATTTGAAAATTGCTGGCTAGCATCCCTGTATGCATCTGAATAGATCATCAAAATGAGTTTCTATATAGAGCAAAGTTCCTTCTTGTAGTAATACTGGTGTTATTTGTTGTTTTTCAATTCCATGGTAAACATACATGAAAAAAAGTTATCACTATGACTTTAAGTTCAGGGGATACAAGCAGACATTACATCTGTGTCTTATGTTGGTGGATAATCATCAACATGTCATTTTTTAGTCGGTTCTTGGATTTTATTAAATGAATCAGAGACTAATATAGTATGATACTAAGATGATTTGTCATGACCTCTTGTGACACTTAGGCTAGCCCCCTCTCTGCCTAACATCAAACCCAAAGATTTCAACACTTTGACATATATACATTTAAAATCCTGATTAGTTTTTTTGGTATTAAATAAAAGTGAAAATTTTTATTAAAGAGAAGAGAGAAGAGGATACAATGAGGTGACAAGATATCACCCCAAACTCCCAAAGTTGAATGCTAACACCAGACCTTCAAAATCCTCCTTTTCCCTTTGAATAAGGTCTTTACTTCCCAAAACCTTATACAACAAAGCAAAATTCATCGTCAAGACCAAACAAACTTCAAGACCAAACAAACTTCAAGACCTAGGATAACTCCCCTTCAATTTTAAAACAAACCCATCCCTAATAACCTTCCAAATAGCTCTCCCCTTTCTAGTTTTCCTCATTCAGCATATATTTCTTTTCCAATTCCCCGAACTTTTTTCTCGTAAATTCTTCCTCTCCGATAAAGAATAATCCCAATGTCTTGCTTACTTGGACTTCAGTTTCCACTATCTTATCCAAATCCATACTTCTGTGTTCCTTACTCAACTGATCTCTACTTCCGTGTTCCTAAGAAGAATGAATTTTGGTTCTAAATGGCGGAATTGGATGAAAGTATGTGTGACTACTCCCTCGTTCTCAGTCCTGGTAAATGGGGTATCCTGTGGTCGCTTTAGGATTTCTAGGGGCTTAAGGCAAGGGGATCACCTTTCCCCCTTCCTTTTTTATATGTGTGACTGAAGCTCATAGCAGAATGATGAAAAGGGCCACGACAGGGGGTTTCATAGAAGGTTTTCAGGTGGGAGCTGAGAGGGTGGAGGTTTCTTTGTTGCAGTTTGCAGATGACACTCTCATATTTTGTGATGCTTCAATCGATCAGCTTGGGTATGTAATGGCAGTGCTGCAGTGGTTTGAGGTTGTGTCAGGCCTCCATGTAAACAGGCATAAAACTGAACTGGTTGCAGGGGGGAGATGTACCAGAAATAGAGAGGTGGGCGGAGGAGTGGGGATGTAAAAGAGGTAAGCTTCCTTTGAAATATCTGGGGATGCCTCTAGGTGCTAGGTGGAACTCCAAATCAATATGGGAGCCCATTGTGGAGAGATTAGACAAGCGTTCTTCTTGGATCCAAGTGCTTATCTTATTTGAGGTAAATTAACTCTGCTGAAAAGTGTTCTATCTTCCCTCCCCTTGTATTTGCTCTCTTTATATCCAATTCCTAGTGGGGTGGCTAAGTCTTTGGAGGGAAAGATGTGGGAGTTTCTGTGGAAAGGATGGAGGGATGAGAAGAAAAAATTCATGCTGGTTAACTGGTCCAAGATTTGCAAACCCAAATCTCAGGGGGTCCTGGGTGTGAGAAGAATAAAGGATCTCAATTCTGCTTTACTGGGGAAGTGGCTTTGGAGATTTGGGGAGAATCAAGGTGGTTTGTGGAGAAGGGTGATGGCAGCTAAATATGGTTATGGGATCTCTGACTGGGTCCCAGGTGAGCTAAACCAATCTTATGGATGCTTTGTCTGGAAAGGGATTGGGAAAACTTATGGTCCATTCTCAAATGGAATTATATTTAGGGTTGGGAATGGGAGGCAAGTTCTTTTCTGGAAAGATTTATGGTGTGATAATATACCCTTAAGGGTCTCTTGCCCTACTCTCTTTGATGTAGCAGTGGAGAAAGATGCTCTGTTTTCAGACTATTTGCAGGTGCAGAGTGGAAGTACTGTTTGGTCTCCTATCTTCAGGCGAAATCTGAATGATTAGGAAGTAGAGTCTCTGGTGGAATTGCTGCACTTGTTGTATAGCATCCCAGTGGAATTAGGGAGAGAGGATAGAAGAGTTTGGAAGTGGGAGAAGTCAGGGGAATTATCAGTTAGGTCCTTTTACAACTATTTTTCCAGATCAGAGGATGAGCCTATCTCAGTTAAGTCTGTATGGTGTAAGGGTGTGCCCACAAAGGTGGCATTTTTTGTATGGACAGCCTACTTGAACAGGATTTTAACTAGGGACAATCTGGAGAAGGGTATGCTGTTAAACACAACTGTCTGTGTGCTTTGTCAGAATCAGACCGAGTGAGTAAACCACTTGCTACTCCACTGTGTTTTCTCCTGTGAGGTCTGGAGCAAAGTAAAGAATTTATATGAGGTGAACAGTTGCTGCCCTGAGTCCTGCTGGTGCAGTTTTTGTAAATTGGCTTGGAATCTGACTCCTGCTGCAGTTTTCTGGTGCATATGGCAGGAGAGGAATGCAAGGATTTTTCAAGAACCAACACAGCTCCTCAGATACAGTATTTCAGAAAGTTACGGGAAAAATGTTTTCCTGGTTAGCAGTAAACAATGTTTTCAAGGACAAATTTTAATTCTTTTTTTGCGGTTGGGAATCTTTTTGTAAATCAGGGTTTGGGGGTCTAGCTCTGCTGGTGCAGTTTTTGTAAATCCCTGAGTACAGCTCCCCGTTATACATGTTTTGTCTTAATGAAATTCTTACTTTACCTGTTTCAAAAAAAAAAAAAGAAAAAACCTCCTACCCATTTAACAATGTGTTTTCTTTTTGAGTAACTGAACCAATTCTCAACTTTTCCTTCTCCACCCCTTTTTCCAGATGATCTACACTAGAGTTGATTCTTTCACCGTTCTTGGTTCTAGTTTTCTCCTTCACCTCTTGTAAAATCTTTTGTATTTACTACATGGACCAACCCTGCAAAGCTCTGCCTTCAATCAGCAAAAAGCTTTTGTAACAACTAACATGAATTAATTGACCGCCATATGATCATCTGTTTTTTTTTCAAGTTAACCAAATATTTATCACTTTTTTTTTTGATAGGAAATGTTAACTTTCATTAGATAAAACCATAAGAAACAACTGCCACCTTCCAAAGTAAAAGGTGACCCCTGAATAACAAAAATCTTACAACACTGCACAAAACAAAAACTCCCGATTCACCCCCTGTTTTGCTAGGTAGTCAGCAATTAATTATCACTTTTTTAGAATTCTTCAGTTGAATTTGTAATCTTTTTCCTTCCTGAAGCCACCCCCAACTTTCCAATGAACACATGGGAAAACAAAACATTGTCCACCTTATCCTGGATGCCACAAGACCTTTTTGAATTTTTTGAAATTTCAACTCCTTTTTCCCCAATACAGCTGGTTTTTTGGTTACTCCCTGTTTTGCTAGTGCTTTAGCCAAACTATTGGCTGATCTTTGTATTCATGTGAAAATTTCCCTTGATTCTCTTGCCAGCCATCACCCTTGAAAAATTCTCTAGCCAGTGATCTCACTTCATTGAGTTTGTATAATGCCAAGTTCTGAGATTTCTTTGTAGCCATCCAATAATTACTTTATAATCCACTTTTCCTAGCCCTAGAATCCCCTTCCACCACAGTCTTTGTAGTTAAAGTTCTTTTCCTAGCGCTAGTCCTTGAAGAATTGCTAGTAATTCCACTTTTGTTGAGTTCCCTTGACCAATAGAACTTGATAAATATTGCCATAATTGTTCCATATGTTCCTGAACACTACCAATACTTGAATTGCTTTGTTGCCCATGGCCTACCTGCCCCATTAGTGGATAGGGCTAAGATATCTGTATAATCCTTCTTATCATGGGGAATTTTGCTACCCATTGATAAGATCTTGTACTTAAAATGTTTAATTTTTTACCTAGTGTGCGGCCTTTACCAATATATTCTCATTTGAAGAATTGTTGGTATGAGTGTGATATTTATCCTTGAAAATTCTAGAATTACTATCTTCCTGTCCATAAAATTGCATCCCTAGTGCATGTCCACATGGTATCTTCCTTCTACTTATTGCAGGAGAAAAAAAGAATCCAAGAAGAGGCTCCTTACTTCTCTTAGAAGTGTCCATTTGCATCTAAAAAGAGAAGAAAACTTCCAAATAGCTTCATAGGGCTTTCAAAGCTGATCCCCAACATTGTAGGAAGAGTTCTTAACTAAAGAAACTCTTTGCTCCATGTACTATAGCCCTATACTTGGCCTTGGCACTAGATTGGGCCACAAACGATTGTTGCTTGCTCCTCCAAGAAACAATTACCTCCCATGAAGATGCAATCCTGAAATTGACCTTAAGATGCATGACACTTGCATATGCCAGTCCTCTCCTTGGTAGGGGTGATCATTTCTAGTGGCTAGCCTAGGCTGCCCTAGAAACATGGGATGATACTGTCTACAATATGCGCATATATTATTTAATATAGGTAGTGTCTCCAATAGGTGACAGAATGAGAGAAAATAACTAAGATGGGTTTGGTCATGT